TAATTTAAGATGACAAGCGTAACAGTATACGTGAAAGTCAAACAGAGAAACTGTAAACAAAACGACCATCGGTTTTATTGCTTCGACTTCCGCTTATTATATAAAACATTGGGTTTTATTTTAATTTTTGACGGTGGAATTCACAATTGGTTGATTATAAACATGTCTATTCCACATTCGCGGAACCTAGACAGCGCACAAAACAAATGCACGTCTGTAATGTTAAAGTCGATGTAAATAAGCGTGCTACCCTTATGTTTCAACCGAGTTTTTACTTTAAAAAATTTTGTGTCTACCAAATTGGGTTGGTCCAATGTAATACTAATAATAAGTGTTGCCTTTAATTTAATCAATAAAATAAATTGACTTCATTAATTTTTTTGAGCCACCTCTTAAGAAAATCTAAAAAATATGAATGGAATGATAAATCACAAGTACAAACTCATCATATTTTTTGCAATTTAGATAGGATTTATTCAGCAAAATTTAAGGGTGACGTCATCAATTTTTTTAGGAGGGATGAACAAATACATTTTGAACAAAAGTTTACCATGTTTATAATAACTTTAAAATATCTCCAAGATTTCAAAGCATTCGGTTTTGTAATTCCTGATTAAATCGATAAAATAAATTCACGCATTCATTAATTTTTTTGAGTCACCCTGCATATGCAAATCCAAAAATATGAATGGAATGATAAATCACAAGTACAGACTCATCATATTTTGTACATTTTAGATAGGATTTATTCAGCAAAATTTTGGGGTGACGTCATCAATTTTTTAAGGGGGATGAGCAAATACATTTTGATAAAAAATTTACCATGCTTATAATAACTTTAAAACATCTCCAAGATATCAAAGCATTCGGTTCTGTAAATCCTGATTAAACCAATAAAATAAATTCATGCATTCATTAATTTTTTTGAGTCACCCTGTATACGCAAATCCAAAAAATATGATTGGAATGATAAATCGCAAGTACAGACTCATCATATTTTTCATATTTTAGATAGGATTTATTCACCAAATTTTAGAGTGACGTCATCAATTTTTTTAGGGGGGATGAACAAATAAATTTTGATAAAAAATTTACCATGCTTATGATAACTTTAAAATATCTCCAAGATTTCACAGCATTCGGTTCTGTAATTCCTGATTAAATCAATAAAATAAATTGACGCATTCATTAATTTTTTTGAGTCACCCTGTATATGCAAATCCAAAAGATATGATTGGAATGATAAGTCACAAGTACAGACTCATCATATTTTGTACATTTTAGATAGGATTTATTCAGCAAAATTTTAGAGTGACGTCATCAATTTTTTAGGGGGGAAGAGCAAATACATTTTGATAAAAAATTTACCATGCTTATGGTAACTTTAAAACATCTCCAAGATTTCAAAGCATTCGATGCTGTAATTCCAAATCGAAAAAATTTGAATGGAATGATAAATCACAAGAAGCGACTCACCATATTTTGTACATTTTAGATAGGATTTATTCAGCAAAATTTTGTGGTGACGTCATAAATTTTTTAGGAGGGACGACCAAATACATTTTGATCAAAAATTTACCATGCTTATGATAATTTTAAAACATCTTCAAGATTTCAAAGCATTCGGTTTTGTGAGTAAATCAGTAAAATAAATTCATGCATTCATTAATTTTTTTGAGTCACCCTGTATATGCAAATCCAAAAAATATGATTGGAATGATAAATCACAAGTACAGACTCATCATATTTTTCATATTTTAGATAGGATTTATTCACCAAATTTTAGGGTGACGTCATCAAGTTTTTGGAGGGGATAACCAAATATATTTTGACTCAAGATTTATGATGCTCTTTAGAGCCTTAAAACATCTGCAACATTTCAAAACATTCGGGTTAGCAGATTCAAAATTAAATTGCAAAATGTTGTTTTATAATTTTGATTTTTTTTTCCAAAAATCTGGACGTTTCGGGTAAAAACTCAATTCGGGGTCGTAAACTACATGTGTAGGACTATGTTATTTTATACCATTTAAGACCCATTTACTATGTACAATTTTGAAGTGACGTCATCGCATTAGTGGTGGGGATGATTAGACAAATTTTGGTTAGCGTTTTACCATCTAGATGATATTCCTAATATAAGTACAAAATTTCACAACAATCGGTCTAGTACTTTCGGAGATTATCTGTCTAATAAAAATCCGGGACGGCAGACAGACGGACAGACGGACGGACAGACGGACAGACAGACGGAAATGGGAGACCTATTTCTTCGTCTTCTAGGGGTCATGAAAGATCGAGAAAACGTAAAAGTAGAGAGTCGGCCGACGGACTCGATTACAATACTTCCTTTGCTTACGCTCGGGAAGTAAAAGCAACAAAAAGTGATAGGCCCTCACAAAAGCTGTCAAACTATAATGCCAACTGGAAGCAACCAATTTTTACTTCCCGAGCGTAAGCAAAGGAAGTATTGTAATCGAGTCCGTCGGCCGACTCTCTACTTTTACGTTTTCTCGATTTTTCATGACCCCTAGAAGACGAAGAAATAGGTCTCCCATTTCCGTCTGTCTGTTCGTCTGTCCGTCTGTCTGCCGTCCCGGATTTTTATTAGACAGATAATCTCCGAAAGTACTGGACCGATTGTTGTGAAATTTTGTACTTATATGTATTAGGAATATCATGTAGATGGTAAAACGCTAACCAAAATTTGTCTAATCATACCCACCACTAATGCGATGACGTCACTTCAAAATTGTACATAGTAAATGGGTTTTAAATTGTATAAAATAACATAGTCCTACACATGTAGTTTACGACTCCGAATTGAGTTTTTACCCGAAACGTCCAGATTTTTGGAAAAAAAATCAAAATTATAAAACAACATTTTGATATTTAATTTTGAATCTGCTAACCCGAATGTTTTGAAATGTTGCAGATGTTTTAAGGCTATAAAGAGCACCATAAATCTTTAGTCAAAATATATTTGGTGAACGCCTCCAAAAACTTGATGACGTTAGCTCAAAAGTGTGCCGAATAAACCCTATCTAGAATATACAAAATGTGATGAGTCCCTTCTTGTGATTTATAATTCCATTCATATTTTTTGGATTTGCATATACAGGTGACCCAAAAAAATTAATGAATGCGTAAATATATTTTATTGATTTAATCAAGAACTACAGAACCGAATGTTTTGAAATCTTGCAGATGTTTTAAGGTTATAAAGAGTATAATAAATTTTTAGTCAAAATATATCTTGTTATCTTCTCCAAAAAACTGATGACGTCAGCTCAAAAGTTTGCCGAATAAATCCTATCTAGAATATACAAAATATGATGAGTCTGTACTTGTGATTTATCACTCCATTGATTTTTTTTTGGATTTGCATATACAGGGTGACTCAAAAAAATTAATGAATGCGTAAATTTATTTTATTGGTTTACTCAGGAACTACAAAACCGAATGCTTTGAAATCTACTGCGAAAAAAAACATAATAGGCATGCAGTCGTCACGTTTCCGACAGCGAGGGAAGTACTGTCTAAACTCTTTAGACCAATTTTTTCAGTTTTACAAACAAATCAGAATATAAACAAAAATTAAATAAGGCACAAATACAATCGTAACGTGGTCCATAACTAACCGGCACTGAGCAGAATAAACATCAGATGGTTGGGAGCACTGGTCTAATGGACCGAAAATATGTACCTGATCCGCTTAATCACTTGTTACTTGAAAAATGTAATAGGTCCAAGGTAATGGTTTTGGTAAATAAATGTAAATGCATCCTTCTGGGATGTCATAACAGTACAGGTAGCTATCACACTGGAATTCTGAAATATGAACAAATCAAAACCATGTCGGTCCACTGGACTTACGCGCGACTAACGGAGGCTTAAATGAGGAACGCTTCCACCTGTGATATTACCTCCATGGATGTGTCTGAAGTAATAACATTACCAAAAAGTCCGAAAGTACTGGTCTGTGTCTTCTTTTATATGTTTGATAGCATGGAATTCAAATAATCTTATTTATTCACTGTAAACAGTATACATTGCATTACGCTCGGTAACATTACTAAGTCGTTACATTACCGGTGGTTATGCAAATTATGTCAAATAGTATCAAATAGTCACATATTCAGCCAGCATTACCGATTCCCTTACCTCCTAATGTAAGCACCACCATGTCTCAGTTTTAAGGGTTTGGAGATTTTAATAAATCAACGAAGACGACGGTGGTGGTACACTATTTACAAAGACTAAATAGGACGATTTTAATTCCATGCTAGCAAACATATAAAAGCAGACGCAGAGCAGTACTTTTCGGACGTTTAGGTATCATTATTAATTCAGACACATCAAGCTTTGTTTCAGCGGTGACAAAAGGGATTACAGGTTCCTGGTTAAGTGGGAGGATTGTAACCAATTAGAAAGACTTCGATAGCGAATCAACGAAGACGACGCCTTCATTGTTAACAATAATATATGCATTGATGTGAAAATTTAAACTTCCAGTGTCACAATCTGGCATGGGTCGTACCAATTACGATAAAATTTCCTAAAATTCCCCAAAATTCTAATGTTTATTTTAAAACGGAAAAAAGTAGGAAGTAGAAAAAATAGTATAAAACACAGGTTTGATCGAGACGTTTTAGAGCACCCATCCTTTAGAAAACTCGTCTACCGATTCGTTTTCTAATTTTGGAATTCGTACACTAAAATACCGTCTTATGAAACTTGTTTTTTAATGTACTATTTTGATCTTCATACATATGAAAATCAAAAATAGGATAACCAAAAGTGGCGTTTACGACATTATGATAACTATACAAAAGAAATGTATTACAGATAGTTGTGGATACATAATTCCATAATACCACAAATTTTAGTACAACATATTGTATGCTGAAAAGTCTAGACAAACCTTTACATCGTATATTGCTATGAACTGAAATCATTATTCTATTTAAAGTAGAAAGAAGTAATCTTTTTCAACTTACTGTGTCAAAGTCCGGTTAGCTATGGTATTATGTTTCACAATAACCCTGTGGTACTGCATGTTTATTTGTAAATTTTTCTGTATCGTAGTGGAAAATTCTACCACACTGTCAATTTCTTGGCTTCGTTTTTCTTTCTTTTTTCTGTACCATATGTTTTTATAAGCATCCAATTTTCTTCCACGATATTTAACAGAAGCCCAGCCGCATCCGGATTTTTTATCTGGATTGATAAACCTTTTACACGCAATAGCCCATGCACTCGGTGACGCAAAAACAATGTCAGTTTCTTGACTTCGTATCTTACCGTCTTCTAACAAGTCTCCCACAAATCTCTGTCCCTGGAATAATAAATGTATTATTTTAAATGATTTAATAAGTGACGTACCAAATATTCTATAGTCATAGTTCCGTTACCGGGTTGTAAGATATCAGCTGACAATAACATTTGAAGTGTTACAGTGCGAGGAGTTGCAGAACTCGCAACAGATTGTTTTCCACAACGGGAACCATTGTCCCCTTCTACATCCTACAGTCATGATATATTATATTTACAATATTAACAATAAGATCGCTACTAAATCTAAACAATTATCTATCATGCATACTAAAATAAAACACATACGCAAAAAAGAATCCAAGCAAAAACAATTATTATTAGGTCTTTTTGCATAAGTCATTCCATAAAAGTGATAAATCGCGTGTGGAGATTAGTTGATTTGGTTTAAATTTTTAGCACTAAATAACATAAACTAAACCTAAAGGTCGGTAAGAATAATTATTTTTTCTCATTATATGAGTTGGTACTGTTATATCAAGTTTTGTTAACATCAGAAATTCTTAATTGGAAAAAAAGACATGGTTGTAAACGTTACAAGATTATAAAATCAGATTATTTGCATTTCTTAAAACGTAAATAACTGAAAAACGCCACATCTTTGATATAAGTGGCCATATAGTAGTCGTGTTGCCATTATTACATATAATATTATAATATAAACAAAAAGGATTTCTCACAGAGTAAAGTATAACATAACAGTTAGTTTTTAACTATGTATATACATCATGACAACTTAATCAATATCTCTTAAATAGTATGTAGTTATAGACAAATAAAAACTAAATGAATAAGTAATTAATTAAATAGTAAGTTAACAGTCGCCGAATCACTATACAGGGTATTACACGAATGAGTACGAGCCTGACTGAATTTGAATTGCAACCCACAATACACCGTCCAAGCTTACATGGATATTTTTTTAAATTATATCAATTCTTTTTTCAAAAATAGACATAGTGGGCAATTTTGACTTTTATTAATTTTTGACAAAAAACGTCAATTGATTTGAAATTTCAAAAAGATTTTTATTAACATCAAAAAATTGCAAAGAGCTGATCGTTGTCTATAATCTGCGGGCATTAATTCTTACACTAGGTCAGGTCAAGTCAGGTAGGGATTAAATTTGTTGAATTTCAAAATTCTGTTAACAGAGGCTACACTAACACGTACTGCGGCTGTCACTGTTTTTTGAGGGTCATTTTCCACCATTCCTAAGACAGCAAACTCATTTTCTGGGCCGGTAGCTGTTCTCCGCCTTAAGTTTTTTAATTGGTGGTCACTGTTCCGAAACGAGATTTACAGCTTTTTAAAGATTTTGTTGGTAGATGCTTTTCTCTGCAGATAAGCTTTTACATACATTCTAGCTGCCAAAAAAGCGTTCTTTTTACAATCCCCATAAATGATAGATCCGTTTTATCGTTATCTGAATAAATTTCAAATACTGACAAACAGTGACAAATTTCTAACGCCCGGATAAGTATGTTTAGCGCTATTTGAAATTTAAAAAAGGCATCCAAGTAAGTTTTGAATTTGTATTTTGGGTTGCATTTTTAATTCTTGCAGGCTCGTACTCATTCGTGTAATGCCCTGTATGTATGATTTAAAATTTTAAGATTAAGCGTTTACAATTATTTTAAAATGTACTAAAATTATTACCAAATATATCGAGATCAGTATGTCCCTTACTAAGTTCATTGTATGTTTTGAACAGATTAAACATTGGAGAATACATGTGTTGATTAGTACATGCAACTTCACAATAAAATAATGGAAACCGTCTTAAACTAATCTGCGGCACACTCAATTTAACATAGTTCAATAATGACGGAGAGTTAATGATTCCATTAAGGATCTTATATAAAAATATAAGTGCGGCATAATTTCTTCTAGATCTTAAGGTGTACAAATTAAATTCCTGTAGCAGCTTTGTATTTGGATAACCCTGGCAAGGATAAACTCCATATATTTTAAAGTAAAGAAATTTGCAAAATTTGCGCTATATTTTTTCCAAATCGGCAATATGAATTTGATAAAAAGGATAACACACATTAGAACATTATTCTAATTTAGGCCTAACCAATGAATTAAACAAGGTAATAAAGCAATCTACATTTTTAAAACTAGACGTATTTTTTTTTTATTAGTCCTAATGATTTGTTGGCATCGTTACAAATTTTATTCACGCGTGGAACAAACGACAATGACGAGTCCAGAATAACACCTAAGTCACGAATTTCGGTACAGTTCTTTATTACAACACCATTTACAGTATAGTCATAAGTAATTGGATTTTGTTTGGCTGTAAAAGTCATTGAAAAACACTTTTTATGGTTAACTTTTAATTTGTTCTGTCCACTATAAGTGTAAAATTATTTATATCTCCCTCTAGTGCAACTCAGTCATTAATGTCTTTAATTACTCTATTTTCAAGTTATCCGCATAAAGAAAAATTGTACTGTCTACATACTTTGTTACATGATCTACAAAAGGAGTAAATGATAATGGACTCAGTGTGGATCCCTGAGTGACCCCACTAGCTGTAGCAAAATGTGCAGATTTACATCCTCTATATTCCACATATTGATTAGTATCGGTAAGCAAAGACTTAAAAAGTGTAATCAGACCATTACATAAACCAAAATGATTGAACTTTTCGCAGAGTAACTATATTCACAACATCGAAAGCCTTCGAAAGGTCTGTAAAAATTACATCAACCTGCAAAAATTTGTTCATTGCATCCGATATGAACTGAATAAATTCGCAGAGGTTCGTACAGGTAGATTTTCCTTTGATGAAACCGTGTTGTTCGTCAATAATTAAAGATGATGTTTGACTACGCAAGGCATCGGCTAGAATACTATCAAAAATCTTGGCAAAATTGTTTATAATAGCGATAGGTCTAAAATTTGTGATTTTTCCTTATTTCCAACATCCAGGAAAAGTCGAACTGCGTATTATTAGGTAAGTTATAAAGATAGCAGAGTGGCTCAATTAAACAAAAGATGGTGTCCTTAACCAAAAATGACGGAGTTCTCTCGGGTCCCGCTGTAAAGTTCGCCTTAAATTTTCTGACATCCTTGAATACATCTTTGGAAGACACTTTAAACAAGTGCAAAACACATCCATAGGCAATAGAACATTTGTTATCATACGTTGAATTCTTTATATCACAGGTGGTTACGTTCTGACTGTCATACGTCACAACACATTCCTTACTATTAGAGGGCGTATCATTTTCTTTAACATGGCATAACGAATTTGAGATGTATACATTCCCAAAATGTTTAGCAAAACCATTGACGATTTCTACTGGCGATAGTAGTTCTTGGGGTGGGATTCTGTTTCTACAGATACGATACGAAGCGAAAACGAAGCGATAAATGATAAGGACGAAAATATAAATTTCAGATGCGAAAGAAAAAGACGACGAGATTTTATCGGTACCGATATTTTATCGTTATAGAAACAAAATCTCACCCTTGATCTCCCTAGGTCATTCTTCTAGGGATTCTAGACGAGTTTTTCTTTAGATTAATATATGACCAAAATTTACATGGATCAGTGCGAATACTGCGTTCAACAACTTCAATATATCTGCTGTAATCTCTTTTCATCATCAACTTGATATCTCTGCGAAGTTTGTTGGCCTGTCTCCAGAATAATCGTATTTGGTTTTCTTAAGCATTTTCCTAAAGTGTTTTTCTTTTTATTTATCATGTTAACTAATTCTTTAGAATACCACTTGGGAAAAGTAGACATTCTAGGCTGCACTAATGGTACATATGGTGCAATTCTCTAAAGGTGTGCGGAGTGCTCGGGTGTTCATTAACTTCGCAGTGCGTTGGATCTGGTTTTAAGTGGTAAAGATTAAGAATTGATGTTTGGTATTTTCACAGATTGTTATTAAGAGGTCTTTCTGCCGTAAGGCACAGTTATAAAAATAGTACTCTATAGTATAGACTCCTAATTAACAAAATATTAAAAACAGTAAATTTCTAATAATCAATATATAAAAAAGTTCTCCATCACGCACTTATATCTATAATCTTTCTAGAATGTCGTCTTGTTATCATTGTAAAAAAACTGGTAAAACCTTCAACTGTGATGCATGTAAACAGTCCCTCTGTAAAGAGTGCGCTGAATTAACAGAAACTGAAATAAGGGCATTTGAACTCAAAAATCGAAGAATGCGATTCTATTGTAAAAAATGTGACGGCGCTATAACCCTTATTCCTCAATTGGTAGCACTGGTTAACAGCTTACAAACCCAAATTAATGAATTAAAATCTAATATTAAAGCAAACACTAGCAATAAAATAACGAGCGAGGAGGAGATCTTTGCTGAGATAAATGATCGGTTACACCGTTCTAAAAATGTTATAGTGTACAATCTTTCTGAATTTCAAAGTGATGATTTAAACACCAGGATAAATAAAGATAAGGAGTCTGTTTCAAATATATTAAACAGCATGAATTTGCCATTATATGAATTTAAGTCAATAAGATTGGGTACAGCCAAGCAGAACTCTAAACCCAGACCATTAAAACTAATATTTAAAAATGCTAATGAAGCAATGGAAGTTTTAAAAGATAGAAGAAAGGCGCCAAATGATATTAAATTAAACTATGACCAAACCATCCTGCAAAGAGAAAAATATAAAATGGTTCGCCAAGAATTACAAACTAGATTAAGTAATGGGGAACAAAATTTAGCCATAAGGTACATTCGTGGGGAACCTAAGATTATTTCAAAATCTAACAAAAAAATAGCTATTAAGATAACTAGGTGTTTTATAGGTGCTTTAAAGGACGCGGTCCCAGTTTAAATCCGAGCGACCGAAGGGAGCGAGGTTTTAATGGGACCGAGTCCTTTCAACTATAAAACACCGTGTTATATTCAATATTTTTTCTAACACTGAAGCTTATTTGATCCGAAATCGTCTGTTATTAATATTTTATCGGGAGATTTTTAGTGAGGCAAAATGTTTCTTGAGACTGCCGTGGGTAGTAGTCATGGTAATAGTATCAACAAATTTTGAAAAAAAATTTTGTTCGTTAAAATGTGTGAACGCCTTTCAATCGGAATATTAGAAAAAGCCAATGAATTACGCACCAAATTATTACCCGCAAAATCAAAAAACGCTTATGAGAAGGTGTACGTGGCTTTTAATCAGTGGACGTCAGAAAA